TGATTTTAATGGAGCTCAAACAAGCTTTTATTACACGAATATGTGGTTGAAAATAAGTATGAGAAATAAATTGTCATGTTTTAGTGGCAATCAAACTAGGGCTATATATATTTTTGAAAAATCATTTTTTTTTTACTATGAGGCAAATATGGGTGAGCCCTCGTTTTTATTGAAAAATGTGTTGTTAAAAAAAGGAGAAAAATATATTATAATTTTAAAGAGTAAATAGGGCTAAATGATGTTTATTCTTGAGGTAAATGTTTCATTGTCCACTGAACTTTGTACTGTGTTTCGACTTACTCAATGAACTTCATCAATTTTTTCATTGACCACTGAATTTTACCCCGTACAACTCCATTGGCCATTGGATGAAATCCGTTAGTAGACTTGCCTACGTGGATCACAGAAATGTGATGTGTCATGTTAAGTGTCAAGTCATGTGCCACGTCAACACCAAGTCAGCAAGAGCCAAAAAAACCTTTCGCTTAGGAGACAAGTTGAAACTCAAAATCTAATACTTCTTTCCCAAACATCTTCTTCCTCCATCAGAAATTCATTGCTGTGCAAAGCAAATGAAATTTCCCCAAATTGAAAGCCCCAAACCCTAAGGCGAACCCATCAGTTTTCCCCGAGAGATTTTGAATCTAAGCTACAAGTGAGAGAGCCTTTCTCTAATGCTCATATTTAGTTTTAGATTTTCCATCCGTTTCAATCATCATCAAGTGCAAGTGATAATGTAGGCTGCAATTCAAAGTGCTTTTCAATTAATAGTAGCAATAAGCTATTGTAAATATTTTATTAATTTAAAGCAAGAATTGTCATACTGGTTCTTTCTTGTCGTGTATGTCTCTCTGAGTCGTGTAAAATTCTTTCTTACGTCCCTATTTTTTTAATCTTTTCTTCATTCTAGTTCCTTATCAGTTAAAGTGTGGAACTTTATAACCTCTGATTTATGCAATTTTCATGGATCATGAATTATTGTTCTGTTAATGCAGCACGGGTGACTGGTTATCCTCAGGGTGGATATCATGGACATTTAGGAACAACGACTGATATATCAAGAGAAGGGGAAAGGAAAGGGAAGATAACATAAATGTATTCCAACTATATAATGGGAGAGAAGACTTGATTGTATTTTTCATATTATGTAATTCGATGTAAATTATGTTTGGTCTTTGGTGTATGTTGATTATGTTGAAAGTTGAAGCACATTTATCTTTTCGATGTCAATTGAAGTATTTATTTCGGAATGTTAGTCGTAATGCATTCATTTATCTTGTATTAAAGCACCCATTTTTCATGCCAAAGTTTTAAAAAAAAGGACGTAAAGTGGCCACTTATTGTGTCAAAAAAGCACCCTTGCATCAGAAAGAATGGAGCATATGTATACAAAATAACAAACCTAGAATCACTTCATCCCAACTTATAGAAATCTGCACTACAAACTACAAAAGAAATTTGCAGTAGAAAGCTCATGGTTATGCTTCATACAATGTATAGAAAGACAGAGAGAAATATGCACTAGATAGCTCAGTACTCAAAATGAGCACCATACAAATTAACATGATGCCACAAAAATACTAATTCTTCTAGTAATCAGCGTTCCTATGCACTACACTATGAAGTACTGTCGTTGCCTTTACATCGAACGGATTAACTACTGTCGTCTTCACAACTCTTCTCGATCGTGCCCTTGTGGCTCTCAATTTCGACATTTCTTCCACGTTTGGCAAATTAGATGCAACGGCATGCCCACGTTCATGTTGATCACCAATGGGCATCATCACTGCTGGACCGGGTGTAACATGATTCACTTCTATTTCGCGCGCAACCATGGGTGTATGCATGAAATGGAAAGAAGTCTCTTATGCGATGTTCGTTGATGAAGATGCACCCTTTCCTCTGGCAGCAACCATTTTACCCTTACATGGTAATCACATTGCATTGAAAAATAGGTAAGGACGTAAACCAATGATTTATGCAAAGAGACTAGTTGACACCAATCATTCAACTTTAAAAACTGGATTTTCAAATCATGCTAATGAACATTTCAAAAACCATTGAGCCCAGTGTCCTAGATCTAGTGTAAGGCTTTGTTCATATACTTATGGTCACAACTCACAATTATTCGAAAGTTTCAAGCACTTCTGAAAAAAATTCAGACAAACAAAGATCTTTTAATCTAATAATGACAAAATAAGTGCTAGTAAATAGCAAGATAATGAAAATATTAGAAGTGGATAATTTTTGGTGCCTAACGTGAACCTTGGTGTATTGGACAAAGCATTTGAAGTCCATAGACCAAATAGTGAACAGGAAAACGAGAATGTGCATAGCTACAAGGCTGCCTAGAACTATAAAGGCATCCCCAACATCCAAGATAGGGACTATAGCCGCCAACAACACACCATCCACAAATGCAAACGCCATGCCCAGTGCCTCTTCTGAAAAATGTCTTTAATTCTCAACAATTACAGAATAAAGAAAGAAAAGAAAAGAAAAGAAAAGGGCAAGTGTAAAAGCAGCTTCATTAATACATCTATGAAGAGAAGCTAGAAAATTCTAATTACATACACAAAATTCAGACCCAAACACACAATCAATTTTGGATCTTTGGTACAATATCTCAGTGTCTTCTCACTGTCTCGATACATGAAAATAGTGTAAAAAATTGTTTTAGAATGACCTTCAAGATAGAGGTGTCAAGACGGACGGGCCGGCCAGACCCGTGAAAATTGGCCCGGATCGACCCGGGACCCTCGGGTCGACCCGTGACCCGAGCGGACGGTTCACGGGTCAAGGAGGTGTGACCCGCGGGCTTCGAAGGTTGCACTTTCACGGGCCGCGGTTAACCCACTGGCCCGTGAAATTTTTTTTAAAAAAATTTGAAAAAAAATAAGGGGGAGAGAGTCAACCTAGTTGGGATATACTTAAACTATAAATTATAATTAAAGTAGGTGCCAACTTAGTTGAGATGTACTTATACTATAAATATTTGATAATAGTAATTAGAAATACATTTAGTTGCTATTTGTTTAAGTTAAATTTAACTTTGCAAAGTTATAAATAATTCATATAACATTAAATTTGAATTCTATGTAAACATTTGATAAAATCAAGGAAAAGGTTCTGAAATATGAAAGCTGAAAATACTGGAATGAAAATTAACAGAGGAAAAACGAAATTACAGGAACTAAACAACAGAGAAAGAAACCGGGAGAGATAAACCTGCTGAAGCAGGGAAGTAGATGAATTATTTCATTCAATCAAATTTGAGAAAATACAATGTAAACTAGTCTATATATAGATGAAATAGCTAACAAATCATGTAACAAACTAACAAGATAACTAACATAAGAAGAAACTAGAATATGCTAGAAGAAGGATCTGAATTCTGGCGGTTCTGTTGAACGTTAGAAGCTGTTGAATTCTGCTGTGTTGTGAACTGGAGAGATGAAGAACGTGGGCTGGGCTGCTGGTTTGTTGATGTGCTGTTGGGCTTTTGTTGATGTGCTGTTGGGCTGATTTGGACTAATATTCCAACA